CTTACTCTCTTCCTAATCCTAATTCCCAAATTCTCACATTATTCAGTTTTACACTTTTTTCTTTATTCATGCTGGAACTAGTGCATGTGCATGAGAGAAAGAGACAGGTTCTGATTAAGCCATAGTGCCCGACCCCCACTTCTCGAGCTTGGTGAATTTCGAGTGCTCGCACGAGTGTCCAGTGTTTCAGGCTTGCCAGGCCAGGGATTCAAACTGCTGATGCCCTGTGGAATCTGGCTTCTCTGAAGTAGCACATTACTGCTGAGCCACAGAACTGGCCGCACAGTCCAATTTCAAAAGTTCATTATCAATTTTTCACTATTAATAATAAAACACTGTGAACATATTTTTCATTTAACCCTCAAACCACCCTCTGCTTATTCCTTTCAAAGAATCTCGGAAGCGACTGAAAATGTTTGCTCATTTCAAAACCTTTTGCTATACAATGCTAACTTTCTTGCCAGAAAGGCTGTACCAATTTTTGACCTACGAGTGATGATAAGGGCCTATCTCACTGCATCTTAGCTTTTTAATCCTCTGCTAATAGGAAAGATAAAACAGTATGTTATTTTCATTTTTTCTAGGCTATTCTTTTATTTTTACAAACTTTTTTTGAGCCCTTTGCTCACTTAAAATACCTTGAAATTCCCTTCTGTAAATCTTACCTCGATCATTATATCTAAACAGGAGTCCAAATCTCCAACTTGCAGCTTGCTGCTGAGGCCTTGCAGCAACATGCAAACAGTGAAAGTGAGCACATGGACCTAAAATGAGAAACACAGTGGTTAAGAATACAACACTAGAAAACCGTAACACATAAGACATACTGAAAGTGAGCACTCCGAGTTTATAGTCTGCTATTGCCAGGACAGATTCTGAAAATGACACATGTGAATGTCACTGTCTAAAATCCAATAACCAAATTATCACTTTTATTTTTTTAAGAGAGATTTTTGCTATAGGACACATGTGCTTACCAGAGAGACAGAGTAACAGAAAGCAAGAAACACCTCCCAGGAGGATGGCCATGCTGCAATCCCTTCTCCTCCATTCTCCTCTCGGGATCTTGGGCATGCATGCCTATGCACCCGGTGTGAGTTTAAGCCACCGGGTCCAGGACTCGAACTGCAGTCGACTGACTACATGGGAGTCCAGCGAAGCCATTATGCTAACTGCTGGTCCCTAGATTGATTTTTTTTTCTCCTAAGTGTAGGCACACATAGGAATATGTGCTCATCAGAGATGGACAGAGGAGAGAGAAGGAAAGCGAGAAGTCACCTCCATACACACACACCTGGGATGATGACCACACTGCAATCTCTTCTCCTTTATCCTCCTCTTGGGATTCTGGGCATGTGTGCACACCCTCCCAGTGTTTTTCAAGCCACCAAGTACAGGACTCAAAACACACAGCTGACCAAGTGGGATCCAGCTGCCTTAACCACCACGTTATAATCTAGTTCTCCAACTGGATCTTAAGGGCACACTTTCTTAGGTACCTACATGTGATCCTTAAGCACTTCTATATATTTAAAACATTTGCCGTGGATATATATAATCTATAAAAGCCATTTTTTTTTGGTTTGGAGGGGATGAAGAATAACACTGAAGACTACAATTTTGGCAGTGTCTATATGATTGATAGGAAAACCTCAAATCAGTTGCTCTCTCACCTCTATTTTAGTTATTTTAACAAATAATGGTATAGGCTTGAAGAACAGGCATTTGATGAGAAAGGGTTACTCATTTAAATACCTAAGGTGCTCCTTAAAATGTGTGAACGAGGAGCCAGCAGGTGGCATGGTGGTTAAGGTGCTGGACTCCCATATGGCTGAATGCGGTTTGAGTCTTGGACCTGGCAGCTTGCTTTCTCATTTTCTTTCTCTCTGTCACTCTCTGGTCAACTTCCACAAACTAAAATAAAAATAGTGACAATGAATAAAATTAAATAAAATAATAATTTTTTTTTTAAAAAAAGTTTGACTGACTCCTCCAGGACAGAGATAAACTAGACGCATCATACCCAGTGTCCAACACTAATCCACACAAAACAGCGGGAGATAAAATTTGACTGACAGTAGAGTGACAGTGAGTACCGTCAGGGGCTCTAATTGCAGGTAAGATGGAGAAAGCACACTCTCCCCCTTCTTCCACTGAATGCAGTTATCAAATCTACACAGGATGTGTGAAGCAGCTACTGGGAACAACTCAGAATACAAGTACTATGAACCTTGCAGTGCATTTGTCATGGTTTCTGTCCGTTATTTCATACTGAAAGTGAGCACTCCGAGTTTATAGTCTGCTATTGCCAGGACAGATTCTGAAAATGACACATGTGAATGTCACTGTCTAAAATCCAATAACCAAATTATCACTTTTATTTTTTTAAGAGAGATTTTTGCTATAGGACACATGTGCTTACCAGAGAGACAGAGTAACAGAAAGCAAGAAACACCTCCCAGGAGGATGGCCATGCTGCAATCCCTTCTCCTCCATTCTCCTCTCGGGATCTTGGGCATGCATGCCTATGCACCCGGTGTGAGTTTAAGCCACCGGGTCCAGGACTCGAACTGCAGTCGACTGACTACATGGGAGTCCAGCGAAGCCATTATGCTAACTGCTGGTCCCTAGATTGATTTTTTTTTCTCCTAAGTGTAGGCACACATAGGAATATGTGCTCATCAGAGATGGACAGAGGAGAGAGAAGGAAAGCGAGAAGTCACCTCCATACACACACACCTGGGATGATGACCACACTGCAATCTCTTCTCCTTTATCCTCCTCTTGGGATTCTGGGCATGTGTGCACACACTCCCAGTGTTTTTCAAGCCACCAAGTACAGGACTCAAAACACACAGCTGACCAAGTGGGATCCAGCTGCCTTAACCACCACGTTATAATCTAGTTCTCCAACTGGATCTTAAGGGCACACTTTCTTAGGTACCTACATGTGATCCTTAAGCACTTCTATATATTTAAAACATTTGCCGTGGATATATATAATCTATAAAAGCCATTTTTTTTTGGTTTGGAGGGGATGAAGAATAACACTGAAGACTACAATTTTGGCAGTGTCTATATGATTGATAGGAAAACCTCAAATCAGTTGCTCTCTCACCTCTATTTTAGTTATTTTAACAAATAATGGTATAGGCTTGAAGAACAGGCATTTGATGAGAAAGGGTTACTCATTTAAATACCTAAGGTGCTCCTTAAAATGTGTGAACGAGGAGCCAGCAGGTGGCATGGTGGTTAAGGTGCTGGACTCCCATATGGCTGAATGCGGTTTGAGTCTTGGACCTGGCAGCTTGCTTTCTCATTTTCTTTCTCTCTGTCACTCTCTGGTCAACTTCCACAAACTAAAATAAAAATAGTGACAATGAATAAAATTAAATAAAATAATAATTTTTTTTTTAAAAAAAGTTTGACTGACTCCTCCAGGACAGAGATAAACTAGACGCATCATACCCAGTGTCCAACACTAATCCACACAAAACAGCGGGAGATAAAATTTGACTGACAGTAGAGTGACAGTGAGTACCGTCAGGGGCTCTAATTGCAGGTAAGATGGAGAAAGCACACTCTCCCCCTTCTTCCACTGAATGCAGTTATCAAATCTACACAGGATGTGTGAAGCAGCTACTGGGAACAACTCAGAATACAAGTACTATGAACCTTGCAGTGCATTTGTCATGGTTTCTGTCCGTTATTTCCCAGTCAGTCAGAAGTGGGAACTAGAGATGGATAGAGAACTCTAGGAGAAGCCCCTATCCTGGTTCAAAGTACAGGAGAGGAAATACAATGCTCAGAGTACAGTAATCTCCTATGTTTTATGGAGGAGTCCGACCCGGCGGGGCCCCAGGATCTGTTTGAGCTTTCGACCTTTGAGCACAGACTTGGTCGACTCGGCATGTTGGCAAGGCCGCTGCTGTATGCCCCCCGACCTATGAGCAAAGCTTGGGTCCACTCAGCATGTTTGGCAAGGACGCTTGTTGTATGCTCCAGAGACTGCAGTAGCCTTGTTGGGAAGCGACCCCCCCTCTGACTCCCTGATATACTACTATAAAAGAATTACATAGCTCTCTTATACATCCTGAGTATATGATAAAATTTCTCTAAAGTACCCCGACTACTTCCCTTTGCTCTGACCACCTACTGTTAATTACAACTATCTAGGCAGAAATCTTCTTGACCTTTGGAAGGCCCTTCAAGACACATTTAATATAAATAACCTTTTTACATACAATAGGACTAGGCCAAAACTGGCCCAGGACACTCTGGCACCATGGTAACTAATGTTCTAACAAAATACATAATAGTGGTGCCATAGGCTACACAAGTGAATCCACAACAAAACTCTTAGGTATCACAAACCCATTTTAAAGTTCCTCATTAACTTGTTAGTCATTTTACTTTAGACTTAAGAAAAACTGGTACTGCTAGTTAGCTGTTCAAAGTATCCCCTTATTCTCACCAAGTGAACAGTAGGTTTACCTCTTTAAAACAGATATATTAAGATTCCTTGGGAATCAGCAGTTAGTGTAATGGCTATGTCGCTGGACTCCCACGTAGTAGACCGTGGTTCGCGTCCCAGACCGGTGGCTTAAAACTCATGCCGGGCACGTGTGCGTGCGTGCCCAAGATCCCGAGAGGAGAATGGAGGAGAAGGGAC